CTGCGGGGCTCAATTCGTTGCTAAATTCTGGAAAGAGCTCTTAAAACTACTGGGCATAGAGTGGGGGCTGAGTAGCAGCTACCACCCCGAGACTGACAGACAGACTGAGTGCACAAATCAAATACTCGAGCAGGTGTTCAGGTGCTATGTGAACTATCAACAGGATAATTGGCTACCCCTTTTGCCATTTGCAGAATACAGCTACAATAATTCCTTTCATAGTTCCATTGGCATGAGCCCATTTAAGGCAGTACATAGATATGAGGGGGGGGGCCCTTCTCACGGTCAACCTCGCTGAACCTATCAAGGGTGATGCCCACCTATGGTGGTCGAATGTAACTAAAAACTGGGATATATTACAACAGTCCTTAGAAAAAGCCAAAGCAGATTACAAACATTATGCTGATGGAAAAAGGAGCCCCAAATGGGATTTAGCTCCAGGAGACTCTGTCTACGTGTCTACAAAGCACTTAAAAGGGCTACAACACCCCGAAGGAGATTAGGTTGGAAATACGTAGGCCCTTTTAAGGTGGTGTGTGTTATTAACAATGTAGCTGTAGAACTCGATCTCCCCAAAACATTACGTTACAGAAATCTGATCACCCAGTCTCTCACCTTGGGCATGTCTTGTTATAAAGTAGCTTCTTACAGCTCACCAGTTCCCTTTATCCATTCTCAGTCTTGAGCAGCTTTAAGACTCAGTCATGAAGATATAAAATTAGAATGTCTAAAAAAGCCATTACAGATAGTGCAGTCCTAAGCAGAGTTACACCCTGTTAAATCCATTGAAATTAACAGACCTAAATGGACGTCTCTGCTTAGGATTCCACTGTAGGTGATATCAGTTAATAAGGTGGATATCAAGGTTGCACTCAAGATGTCACAATGAGTGTGAATTCAAGGAAGTGATTTTTAGCACCTTCCCCTGCACCCCCATAATAGCTGGTGATGATGATTAGGAGACACACACACCCCAGAATAACATGGGATGCTGCAACAAGAAGTGGAAACTGTGCAAAGTCCAGCCCCTCATTCTTGCTTCGAGTATGGAGTGATGTGAATAACTCTTTAGGTTAGATATAGGCAATTCTGTAAAAAGAAAAGAAAGGAAGGAATGGCCATTCCTGCATAGTATATATTTTTAAATCACAGTTTATAATATAGCTATGAGAAAAGACAAAAACTGATAGAGCAGTTAATGACATAATAATTTTTTCATATTGAAATTAGTTTTCATCCCAGGAGGAAAGGCCATTCCAAAGGTGAAGTCTTACAGCCAATAAATAAGGCTCACTAACTATAACTTCTGGCTCAAAGGATGCATGTCCTAGCAAACTGTAATTTATATGTTGGAACACAAAGTGGAAGGTAGTTGGTTACGTGCCTTCCTGTAGCCCCCATCTGAAACCAATTGATTTGTATTTGCTAGAGTTAAAATGAACATATTCCTTACAGAGCTGGAAGTCAGCTGTCTTCATAACATATACCAGAATTGGCATAATAATTGCTGTAATTATTTTATAACTGGAGAGCATATCACACGATCAAAAGTTGGCTCAGTGGGGGGGGGGGAATAAAGCACTCTGAGCTTCCTTTATTTCTTTCATTCCATAGCCCAGTCCAATCACAATATGCTTAATCATGAGTAACATGTTCAGTGCTGAAGGCTGCACTGGAAATCTGTTGCAAGTCAGAAGTTGACAATTAATTTGAACACTGTCAAGTTCATGAACTTGGTGGATGCAAAAATGCTGTTGAAGAATATCTTGCATTGTATACCCCCCCAAAAAAGTATTCTCATTAAACTTGATACAGCCCTTTGGGAAAAAATAGATTTATTTTCTTTGTTGCTGATTCTTTAATAGCAAGCAGACATATTTATTGTATTTCAATCTCACCTACAGGAAAACACCTTTCAGGTCCCACTATGATGATCAGATATCTGATTCCTTATTATACATTGGTTGTAATCAACTTTCCACTTAAAGCAGTTGTTCTCAATTTGCCTCCATGTTGTGTTACACAATATCTAATATTAGTGGAAAAGTTTTGACACTGTATTATTTTCCCTCTTTCTTTCATGAGAAGGCCAATACTGTAGAAGGGATTGTTCTATAGTCATTTCAAATTGTGAGCATTTTCTTTGACATAAACTTATAGGCCTGTCACTTCTGGTCTACAAGCCCCATTAAAAATAATGTATGAACTAAAGCTGTAGTCCTAAGAATACTTATTCAAAAGAAATTCCTTTTGAGATAAATGAGATCTCTTTCCAAATAAACATGGCTAGGCTTGGGTTTAAGAATTGCTTATCACAGTATAATCTAATACACAGACGTTCTCAACTGTATATGAAGACAATATATTTTGTAATGTGGGAATTATTGCTTATGAGTGTAATCCTTAACAGAATTGCACCCTTCTGAGCCCATTGACTTCAATGGATTTAAAAGGTTTAAAATCTGTTTAGGATTGCATTGCAAGTGTCTGGGGAGGGGCCGTGGCTCAGTGCTAGGGTATCTGCTTGGTATGTAGAAGGTCTCAGGTTTAATTCCCTGCTTCTGTAACTCAAAGGATCAGGTTGTAGATTATAAGAAAGACCTCTCCCTGAGATCCTGGAGAGCCACTGTCAGTCTGGGTAAAAAATACTGACCTTGATGGATCAATGGTTTGATCAGTATATGGTAGTTTCATGTGGCCACTCCCGCACTGTCATTTTTGTCACTCGTTTGTCGCTATTGCTTCAGGGTTCCCCCCCCCCATGTGTTTCACTCTCTCTAGTAGTCCCAGAGGGAGCAAAACACAGGTGGAAACATGTTTTAAGTTATGCCCAGTTCTGCTTTCAGGCACTGGTATTGGTTCAAGAAGCCAGGCATGCACATCCATTCTCACATTACAAAATGCAAGCATCTACCTCCAGGATCCAAAGAGCCACTTTAGGTGTACCCAAGGGTTTGAGTATGAATGCCCAGTGGTTTTTTTTACTTTTTTCCCTTTAAGTAGTAGGTCCCTCTGCCATATCACAAAGTGCTTTTGAAGTTCACCACAAGTGATTTGCCACATGGGTACAACCAGCTGATGCTTCAGATGCTCAAGCCTAAAGCACTATTGGACATACCTAGTCAGAGACATAGTTCTTTAGATCCTAGCTCTTTGTATATGAAACTTAAATGTATGGCTGCTTTCAGAAATCACTTCTAACTGACATCAAACTGAGGTGAGCATGAACCAGGTTGCTGCTGGGCTTGTGTGCACACTTCATCCCCCACCCCTCCTGTGCAGAGAATCACAGTTAGAAAGTAATTTTAGTTACCCATTGGGTGCGTTCAGATACACCGTTTGATCTGGTGTCGTGACAGTTCAGCAACAGATTTTATATGCATGATCACACAGTCAAAACCTGCCTCCCATCCCCAGCTGTTGGTTTCCAGCTCAAAACTGCTTTAACCCGGAGTATTTTGTTACCAGGTCCCAAAGTGGTGTTTTCTCAGCTCTCCCATTTAAAGCCACATTTCCCCCCTGTGTGATCCCCCCCCCGGTTTCAAGCCACTTCCAGTTTAAACCCCCTCCCTGCTTGAAAGCTGCCCAAGGCTTCCACTTTTCGCCCGCCATTTTTTTTAGTGTCGCCGGTGCGCCCATAGGCGGAGCTCTGCTACCATGTTTAGAAAACTGAAATTTAAATGGTCACTTGTTTTAGAGTTTAGATGAGTTCAGGATCTCATGGAGGCCATTTTCAGGTCAAACGTTTAAAGGGAAGTCTTTTGTTCGCCCTGGTGGTTCTGCGTATGCGTCATAGTAGTTTCACACACACCCATTCTACAGATGAGCGCCTATGCGCATGGTGCAAACTGAGAAAAAAATTAAAACCCACCGATACACGCTCCCACATGTCGGTAGTGTACACGCCGGAGAACGATGTGACTGCGCGGTAAAGTGGGATAAGGGAGGTAAGTGTGATCGCGATTATCTAGATCAAATATAATCCGGTTCAAACTGGAGCAGTTTAACCCACTCTCAGCATGCCATCTGACAGCACCCATTATGTACAAATTCAGATAGTGCAGATTATCCAGAGTTAGTTCCTCTCCCCAAATTGGGAGTCTAAGCTTGAAGTAAACAGTGATTTAAAATTCTAGGAGGGCAGCTAACTTTGGTTAACCTATGCTCAGATAACTTGAGTTAGCTTCTGGAAGTCTCCACCTCAGAAAGGGGAGATAGCAGATAAAGTACATAGAGCTCAAATTTTACGGTCCTCTAACCTCAAATTTGAATCAACCTGGTTCCCGATATTTTCATTTCTTACTTCACGGGGCATATTGCCAATAAATACCTGTTACCAAAAATGGGTTCTGATGTAACATACTAAGAGTCGAAATTTAAAGGATGCTTTCGTTATTTGTTATTATTATCTCTGGGGCTTTAAGTTCAAAAATACCTGAATGATACTGTAACTCTTTTGTAGGAATGTCGAGTGTTTATTATTGGATTCTTTGCATGTTCTTGTTTGCTTTGTTATGAAAAATGAATAAAGAGAAATTTTTTTAAAAAAGAAAGGGGAGAATAGGGAGGATAAATCACACACACACAAGCTTGACATGAAGCTCAGATCATGCATTCCCTAGTTTGGCATTTGTATAAAAATGATATCTGAATACAGCCCACATTACTAACTTATGGTGCCATCCTAAGTATTCATTGGACTTAGAAGGGTGTGATTCTGCTTAGGATGGCACAGCTAGCCTCTGGACATTAGTTTCACCAGGATAAAATCAAGGAGGAGAGTACAACAGTGTAAGCCACTTTGGTTCCTACAGGGCAGAAAAGTGAGATAAATATCTGTTTAGATAAAAATGAAACATAAAGTATTCTAAGCTGGAAACAGATCAGAAAACCCAATTGTCATTGCTAATACTGAAAAATACTAAGTGAGTTAACTAGAGAATGTGGACCCATTTTAACTGACCTCCAAATAATCCTTTCTGAATGAACTTTCTTCACAGAAAGAAGAGCATGTCCCATATACAACCTGTGGAAAGTGTGTACGGATGACCTTCTGTACAAGTGCTGTCCTTTTCTGGGTAAATCACTACTGATGTTCATTGTCTATTTAATTTCATTAGCATTATAGATCGTGTAAAGAGCAAAAAAAGACAGATTATTTCTGTGTTACAGTCCTTTCACATTATTGTATTTTCTCTGAATGTACACGAAACATCGCCTTTGAAAAAAAAACATAATGGAAGTTTAACAACAAAAAAGGCTTTTAAACTAATCCTTAAAGCTTTTCATACAGACACTGTATGTGTGCATGTGTGTGTATTTCCCTGAATGCTTGGTTTTGGGGGGGGGGGGGGGGGGGGAGGACCATCTCCAAAAAGCCTTGGGAGGCTGTACAACAAAGTGGGAGGTTTGTGCCTTGTTACCATCTGTCTTGAAGACTGCAAAACCAAACATGCCCAAAGGAATAAGCTCCATTGAATTCACTACGATTTACTTCTGAGCAGGGGTCGTTTCGTAGAAAAAGAGCTAGGGGAACTCATTAGCATAACTCATTAGCATATGCCACACACCCTGACATCACCGGAAGTGTGTCATAAGGCCACACACCCCGCCCCCAACGGCCCCGGCCGCCACCGCCTGCCTTGCAGCTCCACTGCCGAGCCCCATGAGGGGCCCAGCGGTGGACCTGCAAGGCCGGTGGGAGTGCAAGGAAGCCCTGCGAAGGCCCTCCCTGGCCCCAGGCAGGCAGGGGTGGGGAGAGGCAGGGAGGAAGCAACTTACCCTCCCTCTTCTCCTGCCTCCTCCTGGCTGAATGAGGGCCGGAAGCGGGGCGGTCAGGAGCAGGGGGCGGGGCTTCGTCATGTGCCCCGCCCCCCGTACCTCACCCGGGGGAACTGCGATCCCCCGCGATCCCCCCCGAAATGACCTCTGCTTCTGAGTAACATGCTACTAGATGCGCAGGAGTCATAGTTTTTCCTTCTAAAACAGTACTACTCCTTTGCTTAGTCCAGACTCATTCCTTATTCTTGTCCCATTTCCTTTTACTATCTTGTAGGGAACTCCAGATGTCTTTGTACAGCTAGACTCACTCCTGATGGCTCTATTTCTGGCTTTGTGCCATCTGATTCTGGCTTGATTTCCTACCTTCTGAATCTCCTTCTTATCCTCCTAACACACCTTGTACATCCATTTTTAAGCTTGTTATTTTGGATTCTAGTTACATTTTCAAGGTAATTTAAAAATGTTTTCTGTGTATATATAAAAAAGTAATGTGTGTGTACAGGGGAAAAAATGTTTTCAACCATATTTAATAGGGGTACACATGCCAGGAAGTCAGAAATGGCAATGGCTTTCTGTCACATGATAGAAAACACACATTTGTCATTGATCAAAGGCTTCTCATTGAGGCCTTGTTTCACAGTCCTTTTGTGGTGGCTGGGTCAGAAAACAGCATGTAATGTGTGTGCATATAAACTCGTTATTCAGTTGCCATTTGCTTATGCAAAGCAGATACTTGCGTATACAAATCTGTTCTTAAGCAAATTTGTTTCAGGCATATAGGTCGTTGCTTGAAAATTTAGTCTCTTGCTCATTTTAGCTGCAGTTTTGATTAAATTTCATCTTACGTTCCATGAAAGCAAAGAGAGTTGTTTTGAAGACCAAACCACTCCCCCACCCTTACTTTTTTCTTATTTGTTGTGGTCATTTGGTTCAATATGTCACAGATGAATGGGCCTTCTTCAGCTTTTTCATTTAAGCTAAGAGAGCAAAGCTCAGAGCTCTTTAATGTTGTTTTAATTAAAAGTAAAAGTTAAAAGAAGCCAAGGCAACCGTGAAAAGAAAAGTAAGATGGTAGAGTATCCAAGGAAGCACGTTCACAAAACAAAAGTTTTACTATAACATTAGCCCAGAGCTTGGCCTACTATAGGCTGTTATCAATTTTTCCACTAACCCAAGCATGCTTTAGGTCACATTTTTGGGCTAAAATCCACTGCTCATAACCAAAAACAGATTTTGCATCTGAGAGTAGAGAATGGACACAGGTAATTTTGGTTGATTGCTAAAGAAGATGTTGGCTGGCTTTAAACGAGGATGACTTTAGATAAACCATTGCACCTGTGGTGATGACATGATATTCCAATGATTCAGAACTCCCAGTGGGTTGTCACAATGTCAACAGGTTTCTTCTGCCCTAACTTATCCCTTGAAACAGGTTGCCCCCAGCAGTTTTTCATTTGGTGGGGCTCCCAGTGGCAAAGGGGAGTGACGGGCGTGAGGGGATATGAAGGGGAAATGGCACTGATGTGGGCGGGGAGGTTCAGAAACCTGCCCATCCGTGTGGTGAGCCAAACTACTTTGACCACAATCTTCCTGGAAGGATTGTAGCAAAGCAGGTTTAAAGAAGAGACTGTCAAGGATGACAGAAATGATCATTGGTGCACAGTTGGGGAACAATATCGTGTGGACAGTAACAAAACAAAACCTTGCTCCTTTTTGGTCCCAGAATGGGACCAAACACTCTGTAGTGGAAGCAGCCATAGATTCTGATCTGAAAAAATCTCTCCTAATGAATTAGTTCGCCATGGGTATTATGTTAATGTGTGTGAAAGATTCTTTTCCATAGTGGGATAAAAACCCTTTGAAAAAAGATGCTGATGACAAGATCATCCTTCAGAGGCATGGGATTTTACTTTCTTGAAGCAAGAGTGTCATTCCTTCCCCTAAGTCCTTCATGTCTCACCTACCTTTATTATCAGGAGTATGTTGCCTTTGTCAGCATGTTCCTAGGAAAACTGAGAGTTTGAGAATATTTATTGAGTTTAACATGAAGTATAGTTAGAGTGACTTGAGTTAAAAGAATTAATGTTACAAAGAAACTTGCGGCCTGAGCAAGATATGAGCTAGAAGCCTGGGGAAAAACAAGTGAAACAAAGCAAAAGACAGATTTTAAATACTGAAACACAGATTTAAAAACCAAACTAAACCACCAGCCGTTCTTTTCTTCCAGCAGAGCATCAGATTCATGCATGGCTGCTTTGGAAGGAAAGGTACAGTTTCAGTTATTCTGCACTGCAGGAAGCATGACATTGCTGAATTGCACAGGTGCAGGGAATAGAGTTAGCTGTTTGTTTGCTTGCCTGGGGTATGTAGGTGAGTGGCAGCACTTCCTCCTGGCTTGCATTGGCTGGGGGGGGGGACCTGCTGTCTTAGTTTTCTCTCACTACTGTAACACATTTTCAGCAGAGGAAAGAAGGGAGCCAATGTGTTTTCATCATGTCTGCAGACTTGCTTCCGTATTAGTCAGGGGTCATTTCGTAGAAAAAGAGGTCCAGGAGCTCATTAGCATAACTTATTTGCATATGCCATGCCCCCTGACATCACTAGAAGTGTGTCAGAAGGCAACACCCACCGCTCAGGTTCCACTGGACTGTTTTGGATTACTAGCTATGGGGGGGGGGGACACGTAGATCTGCCCTCACAGAGGAGGGAGAACTTGTACCTGAAGGTGTGGGGGGGGGCTCTGCAACTTACCTGGTTACTTCTTGCTCCTTGTGGCCTGACTGAGGGCTGCTGGGAGCAGGGGATGGGGCTTGCTGCATGTGCCCACCCCCTGGGCTCCTTACTGCTGGAGCTCCGCTCCTGTGTGCTCCTGCAGGAAATGACCCCTGGCATTAGTCATTTTCTCGAGACGTAACGTGGTTCTTTCACTCAGTTAGTATGGAGAATCCAGATCAATGCTGTGCTGTATTCCTATATTTTTCTCTTTTTGTGTGTGCGTGCGTGTGTGCACTTGGAAGTCATGGTTGACTTCTGGCAACCATAATGGGGCTAGGATGTTTCAGAGAGATGGCTTGCTATTGTCTGCCTCTGTATCCCAGCCCTGGTGTTCCTTGGAGGTCTCCTTTCCATGTACTTGCCAGGGTCGGCCCTGCTTAGCTTCCGAGATCTGACAAGATCGGGCTTGCCAGGGCTGTCCAGGTCAGGGCGTATTCCTGTATTTTTAAGACAGACTTGTGTCAGTTTTTCTGTATTCAAATGCACTTGTAGCACATTATAGTTCAATGAACCTTCTCACAGTTGCCAAACTTTTAATTTATTGTTTGCATTCACAGTGCCATAGCATTATTGAATTGTATAGAATTACTGAATTCATTAACTGTTACCTGCTGGCAGACCCTTTAATTTCTTGTTTTCTTCCTGCAGTCCAATCAATTACACATTTGTTTGTTTTTTCATAAATTTATTTTGCTGATTATTGTAATTTTGCAGTCCTCATAATGGAAAATTTTAAAATTGAATGAGCTATTGTTTTAGCGCAAAAGAGAAATGAAGGACTCACTGGTGGGTCCTTCATTAGCAAATGGCTAATTAATACTGAAACCACTGATTAAAGGGCCTGCACAGAGGAAGCAGAAACTCCTTTCAAAGAAATGGTAAGACATTATGTAAGCACACTTTCAAGGGAAGTAGTCCCATTGAACCTAATCAGACATTTAAGTGCCAATATGGTGTGGTGGTTAGAATGTCAGACTAAGGTCTAGGAAACCCACATTCAGATCCCCCCTGTGCCATGGAAGTCCTTGTGGTGACCTTGGGCCAGTCACACACTCTCAGCCACAGGGTTGTTGTGAGGATAAGATGGAGGAGAGAAGAGTGATATAAACCGCTTTCTCCATTGGGGAGAAAGCAGAGTATAAATAAATATAATTTTCAGTAAACATATATATTTTTGTGTGTGAGAATAGGTATTATGGGATAATTATGGGAAATGCAGTGCTATATTAATGGCTATTTGGAATACAGTAATCCAGCTTTCAGCAACCTGTAGGATTCTGAGCAGAACTGTTTAGGATTGCTCTCTTGGAAACGAGGTCAAGAAGAGGAAGGAAAGGTTCAAGCCGTAAAGAAAATTAGTGAGAGAGGGAATTAATGATTATTTTTCATATGGAAGACTGTATACTATTTTTATTTATTTATTTCTTATATTTATAATCCGCCCTCCCCTCAAGCGGGCTCAGGGCGGCTCACACTGCCTGGCTCGGTGCTTGTGCTTTTTAAAACATGAAATGCTCCTCTTCTCTTACACATTTCTTTACATCTTTCTTATACCTTTTGCATTCCCCCCTTTCCACATGCCACCCGTGTCCTCATTGGGCTGCGTTTTGTTTTTGTTTTGCCTTTTTCACAATATGGATATTTTGGGTGGTTGTCTGGATTTTTCCCCATAGACAAAAATTAAATAAAGAGTTTTAAAAGACATGTATGTGCATATAGTATGTTAATTCAGATTATATTTGTTCTTTTTTGTCTTCAGATCTTGCTCATTATCGCCTCAGTGATTGGCATAATTGTGTACCGGCTCTCTGTGTTTCTGGTGTTTTCGGCAACACTCCCAAAACACGTTAATAGGACGGAAGCAATCCAGAAGTATCTAACTCCACAGGCAGCAACTTCAATCTCTGCTTCAGTCATCAGCTTCATAATCATTATGATTCTGAACATGATCTATGAGAAAGTAGCAATCATGATTACTGACTTTGGTAAGGTTATCAAGTAGCCCAACACACAAAATTTGCAGTGAAAAAAATCCTGATGAAATCTTATGCTTATAAATGGGAATGCTAGCAAATAGAGTACCTCCAACATGTATTTGAGGATTTTTTTCATCCTTGCAATGACTGTTAAGCATTTTAAAATGCAGTGTCTGTTATCAAAGAAATATGGCATTCATCTCCATGCCTAAGAAATTCTGGTGTAGCCAGCATGAAAGATCAATTGTTTACAGCAATATATTTACGAAACTGACAAAGCACAGAAGATTACTATAATAATTCCAGGTTTATAAAAATGGATCAGTACTGCATAACACATTCAATTGCATTACCTATTGTTTAGAGTAGCCATTTTCTTGTAAATAAATAGGAAAAGAACCATGGTTCTAAAGCTTTCTTTCCTTAGTAAATAGAGACACTATTGAAAACATGCTGTTTTTCTTCCCATCCAGGTCATTTATATTAAATAAACTGTCCTATTTTGGTACATCTAAAGTAGCAGTATTTCAATATTTTTTCGTTTGCATCACATCAAAATGTTATGTTCATTATGTATTGAATCTGCTGGAGGCATTTTTGCATTGAAAATTGCTGCTTGTTCGTGTGCAGAAGAGCAAAAATCACCCCCTCCCTTTTGTAACACATAATCATGGAATTAGCATAATAGCTACAGTATATTAGGCAACTCTAAATAATCTATGTTATAATGATGTAAATTGTATTCAAGGTTGCATGACGCATATGTATTTGTCTCCAAAGGTGTTCTCGGGTTAATAATTTCTCTCTTTCTCACCCCATAAACTTCAGAACTACCAAGGACGCAGACTGATTATGAAAACAGCCTAACCATGAAGATGTTCTTATTCCAGTTTGTCAACTATTATTCTTCATGCTTCTATATTGCATTTTTTAAGGGTAAATTTGTAGGTTACCCTGGTGACCCAGTTTATTGGCTTGGAAAATACAGAAACGAAGAGGTATGAATGAAGTGTTCATTGTGCGTGTGTCTCCCAATAACTAGCGGTATTAGGACTAAACTAGATGTTAGATGCAGGTAGCTTGCCTCAGTACCGTTTTTGAAATCAAAAGGAGCTTTGGGAGTAGATGGATTCTCTTCCGGGCTGCAGTGAGAGAGAAACCTCGCAGAGACAAATCCATGACTCCCATGGACAATGAGCACTGAAAAAGCAGTGCCCTAAGAGCCAGGGACCCTGGAACATGTCCCAAGTCTCCTTGCACCTAGGACACTGTTATGAATATGCACAGTGCCACCTTGGGCACAGGGATCTTGGGACCTGTATTTTCCAGGGAATTCAATGTCTGTATTATGTACATCCTGGAAAACGTGTTAAAGTATCTATGGGTCGCATCCAGACAGCTTTTTCACTCAATCTCACCCAGTTCTCTTCCCTACTACAACCCCTATCCTACATAGTGTTTTTCCATGATGGTCCCATAATCAACAGCATGGTCGTTTTGGTGGTCAAAGGAGACTCCAGCCTCCCTTTTCACCAGCCAAGACACTGATTGGATTCATCCCCCTGATGCTTAAGAGGCTGGCGTTTCAGTGTTCTAGGCCAACACAGAGAGGCTTCCTGCAAGGCCTCCCGGTTACTGAAGGTGTAAGTAATTTGGGGAGAGGCAGCAATGCAAGATTCACAGTTAGACTCTGAGAGGGGGGGGGTTGGATACCCAGTGATGTCCTTGGAAACATGCCATTTCCATCCATGGAAATGTGCCAGCTTTAGAATTAGCTTAGAAATACTATGCATTTTATCCTCCCCCCCCAAAAAACCCCACAACTGTTGCTAGTTGAGTTCATTCCAGATAGGTGGGGGTGGGTTGCCATCACTGTTCCCTCTAAGCTGAGTTAGTGTGAGCTAGCTCACAGTTTTTTAGCCTCCGGCTCACACATTTTTGTCTTAGCTCAGGAAACATGGCTGCAGAGCAAGCTAATTTATGCAGCAGGCAAATTGCTCGCCCACAACTTTAATGCCAGTCACTCACAAAGTAGAATTTTTGCTCACAAGACTCCACAGCTTAGAGGGAACATTGGTTGCCATTACTAATTGAAAGCAAATAGTCTGAAGACTGCTGCTAATATTCAATTAGAATAATTTCTAATTATGTTACTTTACACAGTGTTATGGATACAACAAGGGGCAATACTCCTATGGAAAATATTGCCATCATTTTTTGTGCTACTATTCTGAAACTGTAAAAGACTTTGAAATTGTCTCAGTCCAAAAAACAAACAAACAAACAAAAACACAGGCCTAGATCCAGCTAGCTTTTTTACTCCGTCTCACCTAATTCACTCCCCACTCTGGCCCCCTGCGTCACATGCCTTTCATCCATGGGAGCTTTTAATCATAAGCTTAACAGTTTGCCACATAGACCTCCTAAAATCTTACTTTATTTTATTTTACAAAATTTAGATTCCACCTTTCTGCCATTACAAGGGCCACTAAAGAAGCTAAGAAATTTAAACATACATAATAAACTGCAGGCTGTGGAAGGTCAATAGTTCAGCAGTTCGAGACCCGGGTGCCGCATGATGGAGTGAGCTCCCATCTCTAGTTCCAGCTCCTGCCAACATAGCAGTTCGAAAGCGTTCCGTGCACCTTGGTGTTTAGTCATGCCGGCCACATGACCACGGAAATGTCTTCGGACAGCGCTGGCTCTTCGGCTTTGAAACAGAGATGAGCACCGCAACCCTAGAGTCGGACTCGACTGGCTTTCGAGCAAGGGAACCTTTACCTTTTACCTTTAATAAAATAATATTTCAACCTCCCCCCCCCAAAAAAAAAACATACACCATAAAAATAATGCAGAACAGCTCTGACCTGGAGAGCCCAGGCAAGCCCAGTCTCATCAGATCTCAGAAGCTAAGCAGAGCCCCGACCCCAGCAAGTACTTGGAAGGGAGACCTTAAAGGAATACCAGAGGCGGGACGCAGAGGCAGGCTAATCAAGCCACCTCTCTGAAAATGTCCAAGCCTCAGTAGGGGTTGCCGGAAGTCACCATGACTTCCAGGCACGCAAGCATGCACACACACACACCAAAAATAATAATAACTCAGAACAGAGTTAAAATACATACAAAGATATAAAACAACAATTAAAACATTGGTTAGGAATGGTCCCTGGGGGAATGCCTTGTAAAATATAAAGTGTTTTACTCCTGCCTATTTCATCCTTAGTGTGATCCGGGTGGATGTCTTCTTGAACTTACAACACAACTGACAATAGTAATGGGAGGCAAAGCAATCTGGAATAACATTCAAGAAGTGCTTCTTCCGTAAGTAAATATGGCTGAAAAGTTAGTTGCTGCCATATTGACATACAGCTTTTTAGTCTGTTTAATCTGCTTTATTTATTTATTTTACACATGCATACACACTAACAGCCCGGGGGAGTTACTGTTTGCATTCAGTCATCTTTGAAAGGTGTGATATCAGTACATACAAATAGTTTATTGGGATATTATACATTTTCTTATTTTAAACATTTATCAATATATTCATTTTATAGGAGTTGCATCCCACAGTTGCAGCATGCAAGAGTTTATACCATTAATCTATATAAATATATTTGTGCAAAATGTTAAACCAGTTGTCAAACCATTTTTGAAGTTATTATCTACATTTTATATATATAAAGAGCTGGGGTCTGTACAGATGGGCAAATTTACACTATGAGGCCAGCTGCTGCTATGATTTAGAGTTCAGCAAACTCAGGGAAAATGTTTGCAGAAAACATTCCGTTAAAAAAAAATTAATTGGACGGGGGTCTCCCTTGCCTATTAATAGGTTGTCACCATTGTTAATAGCATATAAAAGACAAGGTCAGCTTTTAAGAAGATATGTTCTGAAGTCTGTCATTTTTGTACTTACTAACAACTTATTTGTTAAGAGCAAGCATAAGAAGCCATGGAAATAAAGCAAACATTTTAAAATTGATTAAATGAATGGATTCTGAGATGAAAGCTTAAAACAGCTAAGATTTCTTGGACAACAGTTCAACTGGCCTCCCTGCAGTTAGTAAATAGGATTAATTGGCTCAATATAGATGTTTCAGAGCCAGATTGATTACTTACAGACTCAGTTACTCTGAACTGAGGAAATGATCTTCGAGTGGTAATCTGTGCAGGTACACACACATGTGTGGGACTGCACAGAGAACATGAAGAAGATCTTTAGTTCCTGTTAACTACTCTGTAAACAAATATTGTCTACCTCATCTACACAGAATTTCACTATTATCCTGTACTGAGCAAAGGATAGGTTCTGTCATTGTATTGATTCACAGTAAATTCTAAAATTACGTTACTGCATAAGTGAGCTCTCAAACCTAATCTGAATCTGGCCCTCATGAGGAGGAGGAGAACTAGTTTTTATACCTTGCTTTCCTCTATTTTAAGGAATTTCAGTGTGGCTTACAATCTCCTTTCCCTTCCTCTCCCCACAACAGGCACCTTGTGAGGTAGGTAGGTCTGAGAGAGTTCTGAGGGAACTGTGAATGGCCCAAGGTAGTTAGAGTTGCCCCCACTGCTGTGTGAGCCAGGGAGCCATTGGTGGCTGCTCTGTAGGCTTGCGGATGGGCAAGTAAGCAAGTGAGCAGCCCAGCAAGGGAGGGGGGAACAAAGAGATGGGATCCCACAAGAAGTCTTGCAGTCCCCTGCTTGTTATTCCATCAGAACAAAATATTTATGATAGCACACTCCTTAAAAGATAGACTAAATCTTGGCATGATCCAAACTCATAGATGGTTGAAGAATCTGATCGGAAGATGTTGCACCGCTGCTCGGTCAGAAGTTATTGTCCCGCGCTGGGAACAGGACTACCACCTGCAACCGATTGGCAAACTTGGATTGTTTTATGAGTATCTTGAAATGGGTAAGCCAGCAATTTGTTTTGTGGCATAATCTGAATCCAAAAACATTTCTATAAGTCCACTAAATAAATCAATAAGACTGAAGAAATAAACATTTAAAAACTTGTAAAAAGTTGGAAAGCTAGATTTTTTCTTGAGTTTGATATTTTTTTAAAAAAAGTTTGTACGCAAAGAAGTTCCCTGGGGTTGTATGCGAGACATTAGACATGCTGATGAGAAACATGATTAAGCTCATATGAGTGCAGTGGTCTTTATCAGCAGCAGAATATTCCTCATGCACAATACAGAATCCCAACAAGCCCGTGGCGCATTCTCTTGATGAGAGCCCTACACATGTAAGGCTTTGGCTCATGCTCAAGATAGCTATATTAGCTTTTGTGTAAATGCTAACATCTAAATGATATATTGCTGCTTTCTTGCATCAAGAAATAAACGTATGGCCAAAGGATACTTGGAAGTGTCAAAAAAATCTGCAGTGATGAGTACCACAGATTCTGTTTCATAATTTTTTTTTCTTTCCTTGAGGGTTGCAGAATGTCTGTACTCAGTAGTTCCACATTTCTGGGATGTAACAGCCCATGTTTATGATGTTTGGGCAACCTAGAGCAGATCTGTGGTTAACCACAGGGATACACTGCTCTGACCTCTGAAAAGGCAGAGTGTTAATGTTATCACCATTGCATGTTGTGTTTTTCTTTGACAGTTATACAGTTTGGATTTGTGACCTTATTTGTGGCATCATTTCCCCTGGCACCCCTCCTGGCTCTTATTAACAATTTGCTGGAAATACGTGTGGATGCCTGGAAGATTACAACACAGTTCAGGCGTATGATTCCCCAGAAAGCTCAGGACATAGGAGCATGGCAGCCTATCATGCAAGGAATAGCTATTCTTGCCGTGGTCACAAATGTAAGTGCATTCTTTTTAAAATATATATATATATATATATTATTTAAACCAAAATATATTGGTAACAACATCCAACAATATAAAATAAAAAGATATGAACAAAGGGATACTAGGAGAAACTGGGTAATACGGACAAAATGTAAGTGCATTCTTAAAGCAACTACAGTTTGTACCTTAAATTTCAGCTCTTTCGGTCAGGAAGGTAATCTTTAGTCCAATTTTTATACTTTCACTGTCTGTATTTTCTTTTTACTTTGTCAACAATATGCTGACAAAGTGGTTAGAATGTCAGACTAGGACCAGGAACAACCAGGTTTGATCCTCCTCCTTTCATGGAAGCTTGCTGGGTGACCCATCATAATTTTCAGCAAGCAAGCATTCCATCTTAACTTGTTCTTGTAGAAACAAAAGCTGATGAGGTTCCAAAGAAAGAGAAGCACAGCCACTTAGAGGCAGCCACCACTCCTTTTGTAGACACATGTACTTTGCCCATTGTATAAATGCCAATTCCAGCTGGTCAGATTTCCTTATCCCCACAGCCTGCTATCAATCTCAAATCATTTGTTGTTGTTGTTCAGTCGCACAGTCGAGTCCAACTCTTCGCGACCCCATGGACCAGATCACGCCAGGCCTTCCGGTATTCCGCCGTCCTCTGAAGTTTGCTCAATTTCATGTTTGTTGCATCTATGACACTGTCTAACCATCTCATCCTTTGCCGTCCCCGTCTTTTTTGACCTTCAATCTTTCCCACCATCAGGGTCTTCTCCAGTGAGTGCTCCCTTCTCATTTGGTGGCCAAAGTATTTGAGCTTCAGTTTCATGATCTGGCCTTCCAGGGAACAGTCAGGGTTGATGTCTTTTAGGATTGACTGATTTGATCTTCTTGCAGTCCAAGGGACTCTCAAGAGTCTTCTCCAGCACCATAGTTCAAAAGAATCTATTCTTTGGCGCTCGGCCTTCCTTATAGTCCAACTCTCGCAGCCATACATGACTACTGGGAATACCATTGCTTTGACCATGCGAACTTTTGTTGGCAGGGTGATGTCTCTACTTTTTATCACGCTGTTTAGGTTCACCATCACTTTCCTCCCAAGGAGCAGGCGTCTTTTAATTTCATGGCTGCTGTCACAGTCTGCGGTGATCTGGGCTCCCAGGAATGTGAAGTCTGTCACTACTTCCATGACTTCCCCTTGTATTTGCCAAGGAGTGATGGGGCCAGATGCCATGCTCTTAGTTTTTTTGATGTTGAGCTTCAAGCTCACTTTTGCGCTCTCCTCTTTTACCCTGAGCAAGAGGCTCTTTAGGTCCTCTTCACTTTCTGCCATTAGAGTGGTATCGTCTGCATATCTGAGGTTGTTGATCAAATCAAATCATGCTTGGTCTCATTCCCAGGGAATCTCATCAGATCAGTCAGATACATCACCCAGACCTCAATGGATTTAGAAGGGTGTAACCCTGCTTAGGATGGTGCTGTGACTCCAGCAATTATACTAGGCCACTACTACTACTACTGCTACTACTGCTACTATGGTGTCAATTCACAACCAGCTCATGGTGACTCTAGGACCATGGGGTTTTTATGGCAAGAGATGAGCAGAAGTAGTTTGCCATTGTCTTCCTCTGCATAGCAACTCCAGTCTTCCTTGGTGGTCTTCCATCCAAATACTAACCATGGCCAACCCTGATCAGCTTCCAGGCTTTGATGAGATCAGGCTAGGCTAGGCTACCAGGCTGCTAGGAAGCCAAAAAGTGGAATAATGGGTTCTCAGGATAGTTAATTCAGAATACTCTGGAATGGGACAGGACAGCCTTGTCTTCTTTCTCACATCTTAATTATAGAAGAAGCATCAGAGAATGTTGGCCACTATCAATCACCTTCTCAGAGCAATGCCATTACCAAACTGGTTCTGCAAGAAGACTTGGAATATTTCATCCAAACCCTCAGAGGACCAATCTGTCAGGAACTCCAAAGATTTTAGATTTTTTAAATGGGGGAGAGCAAACCATGTATGTAGCCCTGAGCTCCTTGGAGGAAGAGAGGAATTAAAATGTTCTAGTTAAATAGGTCGAATTAATCTTCCTTGGTCTCCCCTAAGAAGTGGGTATCGCATGCATACTGAGCTTCAGGATAAATTTGGCAATATATAACTACTAGGAGTAAGGCCCTTTGTGGCTGGTGGGGCAGATGAGGGAAGGGGAAAATAGAGGGAGGCAAGCCATGTTTATTTCCTTCTGCTTAGCTATAAGGCAGGCCTGTCTCAAGTCCTTTTGCTGCCCCAAGTGGGTAGTATGGGAGGACAACCTCATGGTAACAGGTATGGTTCCCTCCACCCCTGACTTATGTTGATTTGGGGTTATGCAGTGGCAGCTAAGGTAGAAAAGCACCTCCCCTATGCCATGTCTTCTGGGTTCCATAGCCAGTTACAGAGTTGCCAACTCTGGGTAGTGAAATACCTGTAGATTTGAGGGGTACAGCCTGGGGAGGGCAGGGTTTGGGGTGGGGAGGGACCTCAGCAGGGTATAATGCCATAGAGTCCACTGCCCAAAGCAGCCATTGTAATAGCTGGGAAATTTTCTGGGGGGGAAATGATGTGCTGTGGCTGGGGAACACAGTGATTTCTGGGAGATCTCCAGGCCCCACAGGGAGATTGGCAACTCCAGTGACCATTTAAGGGAAGATTGGGATATGTATTTTGGCAACTCCAGTTGACTGTTTAAGGGAGAACTGGGATATGTATTTTACCTCAGGAGACATTCAATGACTCCCAACAGCAACAACAAACTGTTTAGAATGTTAGAGGCAAAGGCCAATTAGGCCACATATGCAAATGACCTCTGTGTTCCAAGCGGCTATTGGGGGGAGAAGAACAGCAAACTGTTTAGAATATTGGAGGCAAGACTCAGGCAATGCAGCCAGTGGATAGGGACAGCTTCTGAGTGTCAAATCAGGGAGCCAACTGATTTGGGATCATGTAGAATGTTCCAGAGAGTGCCACTACCAAAACAGAATTATTATATAGAGAGATACCATTCTGGGGACACTGTAGATTCACCTTGCTCATTCAAGGGGTGAAGCTCCTTCACAGTGTGGCATACTAAAGCCCTGTTCAAGAAGATTTGCAAGGAAACAACTGGGCCTGCAACACTGGTGTAAATTAACCCTCCAGCCATGTTTATGCTTACTTAAATTCTTCAGGATAATATGATGCAAAATTGACAGCATCCTATCTCAGCCTCCTATTCCATCGCCAGGAGATGATAAACAAAAATAATATCCGAGGACTATGAAGAGATCTGTCCAAGTAGAACAACTAGGACTGCAGCATTTAGTTGTTTAATCAATTACATTAATTGACAAAAAACATTTTATTTTGTTAAAAAGCTGTCCCTAGTTAACTTTTCTTTTTTTAAGTAGTTAAAGACTGAACTGTGTTAAAAAATGACCAGTCTCTCGCAGCATATTCGCTCCTTTGAACAAAAGATTATGCCTGCTGTAAACAAAGAAAATATTTTTTCTCTTGATCCAGTGTTTATTCAAATGCAAATATATGCAAGTTTAAGTGATCAATTACCATTTTCCCCCGCCAGCTGATAGCCTAGTGACAGCATTTATAGTGACTGGAAAATGAACAGTTTTGTAAGACAAGTCTGGTAGCTTTGCCACCAACAGAGGTTCTCACTAACTGTAAATCTGTGCTTTTCTGATTTAGTGCTTCTTTTACAGAATATATTATTTCTTTCCATTTCACATACTAGTTTCTATGATACCCACAGAGCTACAAGTGGCTATTGTGCAAAACTATCTTGGAACAAGCAGTTCATCCAACTTAGCTGGCCTCAGTATACCAGAACATGTTGCCAATTTTAAAACCAGTTTTCATTTGTTCTGATATAAATGGAAAAAATATTATAACTTGGAAAATGGAGATCAGTTTTTCTTCTAGTATGATTCTCTAAAACTATGGATCAGAGATGAGGGAAATGTTTCTTTTTTGAATGCAAAGAATAATTAATTATACTTATGTCCCTCTGGCTGTATACAACACATCTGGAAATAATTTGAAATGAGGCTGAAAGTGAAAGTTTTTGTGAAAAGTACCTTGTACAAGGAAGGCAGTATCACTGTGCAAATAAAATACTTTGAATTCAGACATTCTTTTTTTAAGTTTGTAAAGGAAAAATAGTGAAATATTTTTATACTGGGGAGTACCAGGAATGCAGAATATTGTAACTACCATTTATTAACATTTTGCTTAACATAGAAGAGATTTTCCTAATCTTTGTTTCTGTGATGTCTCTGTGATAACCATTGTGACACGTGATGTTCCCATAGTAGATGTTTCTTTTGAAACCCACTAAGGGTTTATCATGATGTGACAAAAGAGAGTGGTCTGAAGACACTTGACATAGTTTTGTCTCTGAAGCTAAGTAGGCTGGGACTGGCTAATAATTGGGTCATCAAGACCCCAAAAGCATTACTTGCAGCTTCTTGAAGAAGAATCAGGGTACATTTTTTAAGAAGAAGAGAAGAAGAGATTGGATGTATACCCCGCCCTTCACTCGGAGTCTCAGAGCAGCTTATGAACTCCTTTCCCTTCCCCTCCCCACAACAGACACCCTGTGAGGTAGGTGGAGCTGAGAGAGCTCTTTTGAGAACTGCTCTTTCAGGGACAGCTCCGACAGAATTATGGCTTGCCCAGGATCATCCAGCAGCTGCAAGTGGAGGAGTGAAGAACATAAAAAGGACTTCCGGTTTTTGGTGGCATGATGGCGGACGTGACCCTGGTGAGCTCCCGGGGTCACGATCTGAACGCCAGTGGCTAGGAGGGGGGAGGCAACTGTTCGCTACCCCCCCAGAGCCCTTTGGGATAGGGCTCCTAGCCAGGGGGCTTTTGAGGGATTGCCTCTTCAACTGGCTCGATGCAAGGGAATTGAGGCTTCCCTCCGCCCTGAAGGTCCTACCGCTGTGCAGCTGAATGACTTAAGAGTCGCTGACCGGGA